GCGCTCAACAAGGAAAACCATCGAAAACCACACCCAGAACCAATACAAAACCTTTATCAAACCAACATACAAACATGTCTTCCAACACACAAGAAACCCGCCTCGAGATCGAGATCTCTTGGGATCACCCCGCAACCAGTACCAAACATGTCGCAACAGTCAACGCACTCTTGGACAGTGGCACAGAGGACTGGATCATGTCCTGGGACTGTATCCACCGCGCGAAAATACCCACTCAACCTCGACCAAAGCCTCTCATCATCAGACAGGCCGACGGTACCCCTATGCCCAATTCCGGCACTCACATCACTCAACCCCTTACCCTCCGCATCGGCAACCATCTAGACAGGGCTATCACCTGTGAGGTTGGCTCGTTCGCAGGAGAGGACCTCGTCATAACACATCGATGGCTCAAAGAGCATCAACCAACTATCCATTGGGGACGCAACAGTGTCAGCTTCCATAGCAACAACTGTATAGTCCATGGATGCTTCGTATCAGTCGAAGACATATACGATCAAGACCCAGAAGAGCTGGTCATTAGGCTGTTGAGGGCGTCACCCAAGAAGCAGATGACGATCGAGCAACACCCCTTTTGGGCAAGAGCATCGGTAACCGAGGCTCTCGTTAGTGCTATACCGGTGGAGTTTCAGGAATATGCCGACGTGTTCTCCAAGGAAGGAGCCGCTCGACTACCTGATCACTCTGAATGGGATCATACCATTCCTCTTATGGAAGGAAAGCAGCCGCCGTGGGGACCAATCTATTCGCTCTCCCCACCTGAGGATAAGGCACTCCGGGAGTATTTGGACGAGAACTTGCCCTCCGGCAAAGTAGTTCCCTCCACTAGCCCAGCAGCGGCACCCGTCCTGTTCGTTCCGAAAGCTAATGGTAAACTTCGGTTATGTGTCGATTTTCGCGGCTTGAATGGAATCACAATCAAGAACCGTTATCCACTGCCGCTCATGAACGAGCTGGCCGACGCAAACGAAAGGAGCACTCTACTTCACGAAAAATAGACCTGAAAAATGGCTATAATCTGATTAGGATTGCTAAGGGCGAAGAATGAAAAACCGCTTTCCGAACGAAATACGGCCTCTTCGAATATAGGGTAATGCCTTTTGGCTTGACCAACGCTCCTGCGTCGTTTCAGGTCATGGTCAATACCATATTCAAGGATCTTCTAGATCAAGGCGTAGTAGTCTACTTGGATGACATCTTAATGTATTCGAAGACTAGAGAAAGAGCATACGACTCTTGTACGGGAAGTTTTGGAGCGACTGCGACGACACCATCTATACGGAAACCTCGAGAAAACGGAATGGTATCAACAGGAGGTAGAATTCCTGGGATTTATACTATCAGGAAAAGGGAACCGAGTATCACCAAAGAAAGTCCAGGCGATCGAAGGTTGGTTAGCCCCAACCAAGGTCAAGGAACTTCAATGCTTCCTCGGCTTCGCCAATTTCCTAAGACGGTTCATCCACCGATACTCCGAGGTTTGCAGACCTATGACCGACCTCCTGAAGAAAGGTTCCGTATGGAAATGGGGCAGGGAACAGCAAGATGCGTTCGACGAGCTCAAAAGGAGATTTACGTCTGCTCCAATACTCCGACACTATGACGAACACCGCGAAGCAATCGTGGAAACTGATGCGAGTGACTGGGCTGAGGCCGCAGTACTCTCTCAGGTGTTCGAGGACGGTATTCTACATCCGGTAGCTTACCACTCTCGCAAGTTCAACGAGGCAGAGGTTAACTATGAGATCTACGACAAGGAGATGCTCGCAATAGTTTCTGCCCTCTTGACTTGGAGACATTGGCTGGAAGGGACGGACATCCCTATCCAGATACATTCGGATCACCAAAACCTGCAGTATTTCACAACGACCAAGAAGTTGTCGAGAAGACAAGCCAGATGGGCCGAGAAGATAGCACCTTTTCGCTTCAAGATCCATTACCGACCAGGCGAAAAGAACGGCAAGCCAGATGCACTTACAAGGCGTCCGGAGTTCGCAATGGAAGGGGGAGTAATGCGTGAGCAGCCCGTAAAACAGCTACTCAGCGCAGAACAGTTTGTCAGAAAATCACGGACCAGCGTAGAAACTGGGTCCGAAGTGGTTGGCAACCCCGAAGAGGAATGGAATCAGTTGGATCAGTGGTACGACATACCAAGCGTAGAGCTGCCTCAGCCACTACAGGGTTGGTATGAACAGGAAAGACGCTGGGTTCGGAGGACGGTTCCGGATGAACACCTCCCTGACTCAAACCTGGAGATCTTTGGACCACCGGAGGCTGCTATCGTAAAGTTAGAGCCTGCCGCTGAATGGAGTCCCGATTCGAATGACCCCACCCACGATGGTCGATGGGTAGTACCGGGCTACGCGGTCAAGCAGGTCATTGAGGAACATCATGATCGACCCGTAGCGGGGCATCTAGGAAGGGATAAAACCCTCGAGTTGATTGATAGGAACTACTGGTGGCCAGGAATGTCCACGGATGTAGCCAACTTCGTCAAGACTTGCGATGTATGCCAGAGAGCCAAGCAACGTCGGAGACACTTGTCACTCCCTCAACCCCTAGAGTTAGCCACCACACCTTGGACTGATATCTCAATGGATTTCGTAGTAGAAATGCCTAAGGAGAAATCAGGATTCCGCAACGTATTGGTAGTCGTGGACCATTTTACGAAGATGGCTCACTTCATTCCAATGACGGGAATCAACGCGGAACAAACCGCCAACGCATTCGTCAAAGACATCTGGCGTTTCCACGGACTTCCTAGGAGCATCGTCTCAGACAGAGGAACGCAGTTCGTGTCAGCATTCTGGGCGGCAATTACGGACAGACTGGGGATTCGTAGAAGACTCTCCACCTCATTCCACCCCCAAACCGACGGCCAAACAGAGCGGACCAACCAACACATGGAAGGTTATATTCGGGCATATACGGCAGGATCAGGCAAGAAATGGAAGGACCTGTTACCTATCTGTGAATACGCCTACAACAATGCGAAGCATAAGTCGACGGGGCAATCGCCGTTCTACTGCAATTATGGCTTCCACCCTCGAACGGATTGGCCTACGGATGCAGAGATCGAACGATTAGACGCCAACGGGAACAACTACTTGGATGAGATCATTACGGCTCATGAGTTAGCGAGGGATACGCTACAGAAGACCTTTGATAGGATGGCGTCAAAGCCAGGACCGGCAGTACAGCGGTTCACTATCGGTCAGAAAGTCTTGCTGGATACTCGGAACCTTGGAGGGTACTCCAAGTGGTCAGACAAGTTTACAGGGCCATTCACAGTGTCGGCAGTGGTGGGCAATCGGGCTTACCGCCTGGAGCTTCCAGTAGAATGGAAGGTTCATGATGTCTTTCACGAGATGTTGCTGCGACCCTATCGTGAGGACCCAGACCCCACCCGAAAACAGAATACACGAAAGCGACTGGCAACACCCGAGCCACAGGAGGCATTGGCAGACAAGAACTTCCAGCCAACCTCGAACATACGACCCCATACGCGAAGTCAAGACCCAGCAATCGATAATGACCGGGCTCATAAACGACAACGGAACAGGCGAGACTAAGCTCGATACCTTTCCCTACTCTACGACTTTTCCCACAGGGTTTTTATCATAGAAAGGGTTTTAACGGTCGAGGGCGACGTCTAGGAAGGGGGAGTAGTGTTACAGGAACTACGGAAGCACTGTTCTACAGGCTTAGGACAGTGAGAAATACGAGTGACGGGTTGTGATGCAAGGCCGGTCGGGTAACGGAAGGGCAAGCATAGAAAGGTATCGGGTAGTGTGGGGGCACGCGGTGTCACCACGCTAGGCCATACTATTATGACGGCACGCTTACTGTTGGGTGTCTCACCCAAAATAGAATAGTAAGCGGGGCTTACGGCTGTAGGCTGTTCTACTTAGAGAAGTAGGTCTAGGATAATAGTATGGTACAACCCGATGACTGGCAATTGCAAGGTTCATGGTTACGTGTCGGAATTAGAATGGAGGACGGGACTATGCGGGGGCGCTTTTCTATCTGGGTTATCTTCGGGAGCGTTATCTTATTCTATTATCGTTGTATCAGTTAGTATTAGAAAGCGGGCCTTGGCATAGGTTCCAACATGTATAAATAGGGCTTGATTCTGCGAAGACTTGAGGGTATCATCAACCATCAAGTCAAGGGAATCCGGTTTACAATATCATCAGTTTAAACGCTACAGAATTATCGCTTAGCACTGGCCATTTCCCCAAACAAAAGTAATATAAACTCACATAATCCGTTCGATTAGAAATCATCCAAAACTCTCTGTTCTGTTAGGAAAACCTAACCCTGCGCCCGGCCGCGGAAGCACATCCGGCGTGAGTGATAATGTAGAGTGAATTTTCTATGTATGATGGGAGAAGAGGTGAAGCTTCTAGATCTCCGTGTCATCACACCTGTCTGCAGACCACATATCCCGGGGGTCTTGAGAACATCGTCGCTGTACATAGATGCTATAGCTGGCCAGGACAGGGAGTACAGTGCTCATATGCCGCTAGCGTATAGATAACAGCGACCTTTAGAAACACGTTTCACGATACCTGTACCTTCATCCCGGGGGTGCCGGTGCCACATTTCCTCCGGGGGGGTTCGGTCGTTCCCGTGGGGTTAATAATCGATCATGGACGTGTGTACAGAAGTGCTGAAAGATGCCGAGCCTGCCCCGGCAATGGCTGCAAGATTAACAACCAAAGAGCGGAGAGGAATATCGGTCCGGGCTATTGCATGGAATCAATTGCGAAGCTTCGTACTGTTTCAAACTGACTGGTGCAAGTGTTGCCAGCACCAAGCTAGGATCAAGTCCTAGCCTATCACAGCGTCGTGATACAATTACAGAGCCTCACAACCGCGCCAATCACACCTCGCACCACCACCCCTCACCCCAATCTCACCCCCTCCATCTCCACCTCACCCCCCCCCCCATAGCTCCCACCCAGCCAAAAAGAGCCATGTCCCACCCCCCGCACCCAACCCCCTACCACACCCCCACCCACACCCCCTCCACGCCCCCCACCTGGTCCCCCACCCTCCCCACCCTCACCGCCCTCACAACGCACACCCACCCCGCCACGCTCCTCCCCACAACACACCCCACAACCCTGCACGCCCTAACCCTCTCGGCCGCCGCAACCCTGCGCTCTGCCGCGACGCAGTCGGAGCTGCACCAGGCCGCGGCTATCGCGGTGGCACTGGAGGAGGTCGTCGCTGTACACCGTGTGGTGAGGGGGTGGATGGCGGCCAGGGGGGCGGATGCTGATGCGGTATGTTGGCCTGTTCCTGGGGGGGGGGGTGTGGTAGGGGAGGAAGGGTGGGTGATTGGGTGATGTGATGTGATGGCTGACGGGGGGAGGAGACAGGTGTTTGCAGGCGGCGATGAGGCAGCGTGTGTAGTGTGTCTGACGGCCCTGGCAGACGTGCTGATGTTGCCGTGTCAGCATCTTGTTCTCTGCAGCGTAAGTGCTCCCCCGGGGGGGGGGGGGGGGTGGCGTTGTGATGTGGCACTGACGAAGAGGCGCGGAGCCAGGCGTGCTGCACGAAGATGGAAGAAGTCGGCCTTGGACGGCGGCGGACGTGGTCTGAGAGCCGGAGGAGGGCGAGCGTGGGGGGTGGGGAGGAGGCGAGAGACGCGGCGTGTCCGGTTTGTAGGGGGAGGGTGACGGAGAAGGTATGTTTCTTTCCTAGGGGAAGGGGGATGGATGGGTATATGGGGGTGGAGGGGTGGATGGTGGATGGGATGGGGGCTGATTGTGCGGGGGTGTAGGTTACGGTGAAGAGGTGCTAGTTGTACGTTAGGTGGTTGGATTGTAAGGGAAGGGGGGGAGGGTATGGGAAGGGGGGGGGGGGGGAGGGTACGGGAAGGCGGGGCGGGAGAAGTGGGGGGGGGGGGGGGAGTGATGCGGAGGTGGACAGGGACTAGCTGGGAAAAGGATGGGGATAAGGATAGGGATGAGGGTGTTGTCATTGATATCACCATGGAAAAAGAATGTATAAGCACGATCGACATACATAAACGCAGCATAATTGAAGATGACACACAACAAACGTCTGAATCTATTCCTTGCATGTAGTAATGAGCTCGCCCGTACCTATACTCTCAATTATATACGCCGAAGTCCATCGATCCGCCCTACCCAGCAGCATCCCGTCCGGGAGAAGACATTATATTGGCCGGGATTAGAGAGACATGTAGATTAAGGACCATCTGGGGTTTAAGTGTAACGCAACCACTTCACTTGATTTCCACCAACTACATGTAGTAGTACATAGATAAGCTGTCACGACCAATTGAGGAGTCGATGGTCACTGGTTTTTACCAGCCGCACTGTAGAAGGCGCGTATAAGCATCACTTTGTGCACGCACCTTACCACGTGGGTGTCGGATTAGATCGATGCCATGCACCGCTGGCCGGGGGTGGGGTGGGGTGGGGTGGGGTGGGGTGGTACAAAGCGGCTTTACAGACCTACAGTGATCAGAGTAGTACTTGTTCACGGAGGTTCTTGCTTGATAGTGCTGAACTCCGCGCCCAGACAAAAAATGCGGAGATGGGGTTCTGGCTAATTACGGTTGTAAAGTACTAGTTTGATCCCCGCCTCAGTGAGTGCTGATGATGTATATGCAATTACCACCCCCGCGCCACGTAAATGTCGATATGCATGGATGTGTATGAATGAACTGGTGTGGTGCTGTTATGCTTTCCGTGAGTTCGAGTCTAATTAAATTAATGAATTGAACCAAAAAAAAAAGAAGAGTTCGAGTTCATGGGTTATCACTCGATAGAGCTATGTAACGTCAATGTGTGCTGTGTTCGTTTTGGCGCTGGCTAGCTTGTAGGCCTCAACCGAGAATGTTTGTATGTGCCTGTATGTGTATATATGGGCAGGAGGAGGAGGAGGAGGAGTCGGTGGTGGTGGTGGTGGTGGTGGTGGTGGTGGTGGTGGTGGTGGTACGTAAATAGTTATGACAAAGGCTATCTTGGTTTTACCCGCACAGGCTACGTGGGCTGCAATTATCTGTGGACATTTAGGAAATTATAATGCCATACAAACTACCTATATGGAAATCCTATCGACGCATCACCCCATCTTCCTTGTTACATATCCCAGTCGATCCTTAAGCTTACTGACTCTTATCTTTAGTTTTTGGGTGGTAGAGTGCGCAGCGCAGTGATAGACGGAAGAGGATACGGGGCCAGATGGAACTGAACTAGGATTATCAACTTTGCTACTACATAAAGATACGTCCCGTGGGACGGAGATACTAAAGATAACGCTCCCTTGATGGTATTACGGGGGCCCTGGAACAAAAGCACCTGCACCACAGAAAATCCGGGGTCCAGATAGACCCTACTCCTCGTCCCCCTTTGCCGACAACGCCACAAGTACATCCACCATATCCCTCACCTGCCTATTCTCCCTCTGCTCCGGCGACCTACACACCACCGTCAGCACACACGCCCCATCACGTCTCTTCTGCCCGACTCCCAGCCCCATCTAGACAACTCACATAGCCGCAAACAGCTGCTCCTTCATCCCCCTCTCCTTTATCGCCAGCCTCTCGAACCACGCATCATCCCTCCTCTGCCTCTCCAAGAACCCCTCCTCCCACCCCGGCGCAAACAGCCTCTCCCCCAACATCTCCACCACCGCCGCCACCATCTCCCCCCTCACATCCTCATACCTCTCCTCGAACCCCACATCCTCCCACACCTCACCCAGTCTCACCACCAGCACATCCCCGCGGTAGAACAGCCTGTCCTCGACCCTCACCCCCGAGCGCTCGATGGCGTCGCGCACAGAAGGCATGTCCAGGATCGTCTTGTTGGCGGGCTTGTCGGCGCTGGTGGAGTAGTAGATGATGAACTCGCCGTCGAGCATGGGCTGCGGGTGCGAGCGCACGATGAAGCGCCGGAAGCGCCGGTCTTGGTAGTCGCCGCTCCAGTAGGGGCGTAGGTCAGGGACGAGCTGGAAGGCGCGGTTGTCGAAGAGGGCGGAGTCGTCGTCTTTGGGGAAGGTGCTGGGGGCGACGGTAATGTAGGGGACGAGGGAGACGGGGGCGCCGGAGGCGGGGAGGAGGAGGCTTTGGTAGGTTGCGTGTAGGGCCATGGTGCCTTTTGGTGGATTGTGGATAGATGGTAGGTGGTTGTGGGTGGAGTGGGCCGGAGGTAGGTGGTATGTAGGAGATGAGGGGTTTCAGGCGACCCATTAATTAGTACCCTATATGACAGTCAGGCCCCCCATTGATTCGAAGTAATGACATCACTGTTCAGAAATTAGAGAAGATCGACACCACCGGAGGTGGGGTGATATAGGTCTGTTCTATATATAGTATCGACCCTGTAGAAATAGGGCATTGCGACATCGGTTATGTATGGAATTACTCATGTATAAGGGATGACTCATAGAAGGAACAGGGATTCAGACAAGGCTTAGTGTCAGGGATTATGTAATCAGGGGATCACGTGGTATTAGAATATCTGTATATATAGAGCGCTCAAACACCCACATTGTCGCTGGAACTTCAGCGGCGCAATAGTATCTTCTTCGCACTACAAAACACATCCTCCTTCAAGGTCACGTGTACAAACCACACTTAAGTCATTTTCTCCCATACTCCAAAAACTTCAGGTTATGAGCCCGGGTTTTGCCAAATAAAATCCGCACAACACTCGCCACATTCGGTTAACTCAATTACACTTCATACAACATCATGTCTGACGCTGGTGAATCATCCAAGGCCGTGGAGGTTAAGTCCTCAGACAACACGAGTCCCAGTAACATTCGCATCAAGTTTGATGGACTCCCAAAATTAAAGGGACAATCCAACTACCAAACTTGGGCGTCTGCCTGGAGGATTACATTCGATGCAGCAGACTGGTGGGAAGCATTGAGCATCGAAAACCCCTCAGAAGATGACACAGACCTCACCAAGGCCGAAATTAAAAAGGCCCGAAAACAAATGCACAGCCTTCTCATCGGAGCTGTAGCCGAAGACATACAACCAACAGTCGTCTCCGCCGAAAATGCATACCACGCATGGAAGGCGCTCAAAGACCTCTACGATCGCGTATCACCAAACACGACGATCACCCTCCTCAGCCGTGTTCTAGACACGAAGATGCAAGACAACGGTAACTTAACCGAGCATCTCGAAACCTTCAACACGAACTGGAACACTCTCAAAACCAAGTGTCAGAGCGGCGACCACAAACTCGCTCAGGCCCTGCTACCCCTCACCAAATCCAACGAAGCAATGGCAGCATTCCTACTTGCCTCACTGCCGAAGTCGATGAACAACGTCGTCGATAACATCCAGACCAAACAGGATGTTACATACGAAGATGTACGCCAACGGCTACAAAACCTACAAGAGGAAACCCCTCTCACTGGCAACAACAGGGTACTTCATACCAGGAGTACCCCAACACCAAACGGCAAGGAATGCACCTGGTGCAAGAAACGGAATAACCCGTACCAGGGCCACGAGTACAAGGAGTGTAGAAAGCTCAAAGAACAGAACAAGACAAGGGATTCAAACAGAAAGGAGACCAGGCAGAGATAACTCAGCGTCGGTAGTTATCAACGAATCATCATCACAACACAACAGTATGCATGGTACGCACCGATACTTCACCCTCTCTGCCCCTTACCTGGATCCTTGATTCTGGAGCTACTTCTCACGTAACACCTTTCAAAGACCAACTCTTCAACATCCGTTCTCACACCAGCACAGTCCGAACAGCCGACGGCACCATCCACGCTGTCACCGGATTGGGAAGCGCTAGTTTCGAATGCTACCTTCCCAATGGAGATAGATCCACCGTTGTCCTCACAGACGTGCTGCTGGTCCCAACCATGGGAAATGTGGGATTGGTCTCAGAAACAATACTCGACGAAAAGGGGTTTAGAACAGAGTCAGGAGGAGGAAACAAATTGGTCACGAAAGAAAAGAAAGGAATAATTTGGGCGAAATTGGATAAGGGACTTTGGAATGTACAAGTAGTTTAGCAATACAGTTCGCTTGACCACTTACTCTGAATGGCATCAAGCACTAGGCCACCCTGCGACACTAGAAAACTTGTACGAAGACATCCATAAGCTACCCCCCAAACCAGAAACATTCCATTGCAGGCAATGCGCACTATCAAAAAGTGTGCACAAGAAACCTGCACCAATTAGTACAAGATCCCAGCGAGCATTCGAACTAATCCACTCTGACCTATCTGGAAAATTCGGCACACAATCGCAAGGAAAAGCCCTCTACTATATGTCCTTCATTGACGACTATACCCGCTTCGCCTGGATATATCTGCTAAAACAGAAAGACGATGCGATAAAAGCCATCAAAGACTACGTCACGAAAATCGAGAAACAGTACAATACAACAATACTAAGATTTAGAACGGACGGTGGTAGTGAATACGTCAACAAAGACACAATGGATTACTTCAACCTACAAGGAATAGTCCACGAACAGACTCCCCCATACACTCCTGAATCAAATGGAGTTGCAGAACGATTCAACAGGACGATAAGAACAATGGTCAGGTGCATGATCATGGACCATCCTAAATCGTTATGGGGTGAAGCATACTCAACAGCTGTCTACCTTAAAAATAGGCTACCCCACAGTACGCTAAAGGGAAAGACCCCCTTCGAAGCCCTGAAAGGTTCAAAGCCGAGTATCCAACACCTTCAACCATTCGGAAAGAAATGCTATGTCCACATCCCAGAAAACTCTAGGCCAGCAGGAAGCAAACTAGCACCCCGAGCACACGAAGGAATCATCGTCGGATACTCAGACAGTACCAAACATTACCGCACCTGGATAGGATCACAAAATAGGTTAGTTGTAAGTCGAGATGTCACATTCCCCCCTCCTGAATCAGGGGAAGTCTCCGTGGAACTCGACTACACCCCTATCCTGAAACCAGAAGCGGCACCTGCACCAACAGACGACGGATATGAATCAGAAGACAGGCCTGATCAAGAACCCGAATCGTCAGCACTCGAAGAAGACCTTGAAACAGACGCAAGTAGACTGGGGGCCGGGCTTACGAGGCCCACTCCTGGACGTCACTTGGAACAAAGTAATAAACAGGAAGCTAATCAGGAAAACACAGAAACACCTCCCCCGGAACCACCAAGGAAATCGAAACCTTGGAAACCAACAACTGAAAAGGAGAAAGAATCTGAAGTCCCGCATCCTTGTAACGGCAATATTATCTGTTAGCTAGGATGATCGATTGGATTGTGGAGGGAAGGTATTGCGCAGTTGTATTAGGATTTGTAATGGGGTTTCTGTTATGTTCTTTGGGTTTCCGTTACGCGAGGTATGAGTCATCAATGGACTAGAGCCTGGATATATAAAGGGGTGTTGTCTCGTGCCTTTTCATGTTTTCCTTCCTTTTCCTTTTCTCTTCACGGAACTTCTTGTACTTATTCCACGAATACTACTTTGTTCTACACCTCGTTATAGGGCTTAACTAGTTAGTCATACTAGGCAAAGCCACTCCATAGTCCACAGTCTCGAATACCTATTACTACGTCCTCCCCTCGGTTGTATTCCTTGGCATCATAGTCCCTACGTCCATAGACCCCCGTTACACCAAGTTCCGTCCTCTATTGCCAACCAATACAACACCATAGTCTACCATGGCGGCAAATCTCCCTATTGATTATCAACAGCTAAGCGATGCCCTTCAGACCTTCTTTCAACAACATCCAGAGGTGGATGGCAATGTCGGAATAGAAGCCTATGCACTTCTTCAACGAGCACAACATGGCCTTGCTCAGTATGCAACGGACTTACAGGAGGTGGAGAGGGAGGCTGGAAATGCAAGGGAGATGTTCGAACGAGATCTAGCCGCTGCCAGGGCCCACCGAGTCGCTGTTGAGGTGGTTGCCCCTGATGAAGAACCAATTGGAGAAGATAATGCCCCACCGGTACCTCCAGTTCCACCTGTTCCAGTGGTCACCCAACGGTCGGAAAAACTCCCAGACCCTGAAGTATTTAAGGGAGATCGCGATCGAGAAAGACTACACCTATTCAAGCAACAGATGAAAATCAAGTTATTGGGAAATGCCGACCGCTTTCCCACACTACAGTCCAAATTATCCTATGCATTCAGCCGATTGGAGGGTGTCGCCGCCAATCAGTTCTTACAATACGTTGGGGAAGAAGGCATCGCTTTGCCTTCCATGTTACGGTTTTATGAAATCTTAGATACTGCTTTTGGGGATCCTGATCGAATGCGTACAGCTAGGAGGAACCTTAGGAACATCCGTCAACGAAACAGAACCTTTGCTGATTACTTTGCCGATTTCCAACGGTATGCTGCCGAGTCAGGGATGGATGAAGTCTCTCGGATTGAGGCTTTAATGGAGGGTATTAATGCGGAACTCGATGAATCGATGATACACCATGAAACTCCTGCGACAGTAGATGCCTGCGCGACACTTTTGCAACGGTTAGATAATCGACGACGAGCGGCAGAGGCTAAGCGAGGAAATAAAAAGCCTTGGAATGCTACTGCTGCTCCGACCCCTCGCCCCCCCACCAGGGAATTCTGCCCTATTCCTCGCGCTGCCGCCCCAGCTATCAATGCACCTGCCTCTGAGAACCATCCCTCATTCCGCCCGGGAGGTGATGTACCGATGGATCTGTCCGGGGGACGTCGTCGCCCCACCCCCGCCGAAAGAAATGCCCGCTTAGCTGAGGGCCGATGTTTCTATTGCGGAGGAGTCGGACATATGGTTAGGGATTGTCCCCAAGCAAGGACAATTGGAAATCAACCAAGGAGACCGGTGATGAGTGGAGCGGCGTTGAGGGTGGAGGAAATTGATGGAAGCGATAACGAGTCGGCAAAAGATTTGTCCCTGCACTAAGTGGCTTAGCCCAGGGACCATTTAAGGATTTTTCTAGGATGCATATTTCTGGGTTTTCGGTATCTGAGGAGGAAATGGATAGGAACCAATTTGTAGTAACTTGTTCAATTTCACAGAATAAAAATACTTTCGTACCCACCTACGCCCTTATTGATACCGGAGCCTCAGGATATGCTTTCATCGATGAATCTTTTGCACGCCACAACAATCTTACCATG